GATAGGGAATGGCAAAGGACACACCGACAAAGGAGATTAATCAGAACTGACTTTGACAAGCACTGTGGCAATTGGACAATTAAAACAGACATTTGGATGGTGGGGAAGAAGAACAAACTGGGGAAGAGGGTGGAGAGAATGGTGCGGCAATGAAGGAGTGAAAGCTCAGAATCCGTGTGAATGTTCATTGAAACTAATAAAATTTAATAATAATAATAAAAAAAAACCTCATTGCCAACCCTCTAGTGAGCTCTGAGACTGTAAATCTTCCAAGGAGCAACTGGTAGATTTGAACTGCTTCAGCTTAGAGGCATGACTTCCTATAGATGAGGCTATCAGACATCTTTCAACCACCTCTAAAAGCTCTGAGACATCCTTTAGAGAGGGTAACATTTTCTCCACACCTCTAGTTTCTAGCAGAGAATTAATACAACAAACTAAATTCAGCTTAGTTTCCTGTCATTGGGCTTTCTTTCTGAGTGACCCACAGTGGGATGATTTTTTTTCCAGTAGAACCTTCCTACCTCTACCTACCAATTGAGGTACAAATCTATCTGTATATACCTCCATGAGAATAATAATAATATCACAATACTCCCATGAGATATATTTACATAGAAGTGGTATTGTTTCCTAGCCAGCTGCTAACTATAATTCAGTAAGTTGACCATCTATACAATGCCTGGCAACAGGTCTTGAAAATTCTAGTGCAAGTTCTATTGAGTCCTATGTCTTCCCTCTCCATACTTCCCACATGTCATCTCTTTTTCTTAAGTCATGTCTTCCATAGTCTGTAGAAAAAGACTACCTTTATAGATACAAACTAAGGTTGAGGATACTGGCTCTACTGATACCTTATCTATCCTGGAGACCATGAATGGTTTCTTGACAAAGGCAATACGAGCATCAGTGTTGAGAGCTAAGAACTCCTGCATCTCCTCACTGTTGGCAATTTCAGGAATGGCACATAGTTGCTGGAAAAGTAAGACAAAAGAAAATGTTAAAGAGAAGTATGGTGCCCATGTCCCTTCACCATGGTGTGGAGTCTGGCTGTGGTTACATGCACCAGCAGAGCCAAACAGAATAAAGCTGACCTTTAGGAATGATTCCAGAAGGCTCTTACGGGCTTCTACTCTGTCACTATCCATATTCCCAAAGGGAAGATCTGGAAAGAGCTTTTTAGGACCTTTCACATCTTTAAAAACAAAACAAACAGAAAACCCAACTTTAATCACTTAATATTTATGGAGATTGCCATATAAAATAAATTACACAGAACTGATAAATTTATGTCCCTAGGAAATAATTTCAGGAGTTTACAACATAGTACTATAGACCCCAAGTATGAGAGTTTACATAGCACAGTAGCTACAAGTGAGGGCTATGAAGTTCAAATGCCTGAATTTAACTTTTTAGTACAACCACTTGATGACTACTGTTAGGCTAGTTACTTAGTCCTTCTTGGACTTTATTTCTTCCCTGTAAAATGGGAATAATGACTGTATTTATAGGCTGCTAAATGAGGTTTAAACAAATTAACTGTGTAAAGGGTTTGCAAGAGAATCTTGCATGTGAGCTCAAGCTTGAATTAACAGTAACTCTTGTTATTAACACGTTGCCACACACTTTTTAAACTGATGTCCGTTCTTAGAAACACATTTGCCATCATATGCGGCAACATGTTAATGCATAACTAAAATCTAGACATGGGCTTAAATACATAAAAATGTTTATGTGGGTTTTCACCACCATATTTAAAACAAAGCTGCCGTTTGCTAGCTTATTTCTACTCTTATTTGTTCACATTTCCTTAGTTTCCCTGTTCCTGAAAGGTGTCAAGCAGCGAAGCAGATCAAAAAACAAAAAACAACCTCTTTTGTTCTAAAAGGAAAGATGATAATGGCACAGATTTCTGCACGACAGCTTAATATTTATGAGAAATCAGCCTATAAAAGTGGAAAAGCTAATTTAATTTCTCAAAATAGGTGGATATAGCCCACCTGCCCCTCACATTCTCAGGGGCGTCCCTATCATGCCTTAAAACTGCACTGACAAATAAAACTGACATTTCTGGGCATTAAAAAAAAAAAAATAGGTGGATATATCACAACATCTTTCTTAAGCAAAAGACAGCCTCAGAATAAAAGGATGAGTGCATTCAAGAGCTAAACCCCAAACTCCTGAAGTGAACCCAGGAGCAGGTCCAACATTTCCCTCCTACATCCCTTCCCATAAACCATCAGTCCACCAAATCTCAGGCCTGGTGGCTAGCAGTAGAAAGCAAACAGGCAGCCCAGGGTTGGAGAAACGTCTGACTTTTGATGAACTTTCGCAGATCTGGTTTCTCTTCTAGCCGGGTCTGCAGATTCAGGAACTCCCGGTAGCGGCGATTCACAGTGTGGTAGGCAAACTGCGGCAGACCACTGGTGCTCTCACCATCAAGGGACGTCTCGTACTGTTGAATGAATGCGGTCTGAATCAGTTAGCCAGGCTTAGACCATCTCCTACTCTGGCTTTAAAGATTATCTGTTTAACAGCCACACAATAAAGAGTAAAAGAGGGAAGATGTCCCTGTTTTGTTCTGGAAACTACTATGCAGGATTATTGGCTCACACTGTACTGAACAGTCCAAACTAAAACTGTGATGAATTAAGGGATGAGATAGTCTCCATAATGTATGGAGCCCAGCAAGAGTTATAGCTCTACACAGCTACTTCTATCCCCAAACTCTCCACCTATAGGTAGTTTCCTATAAATATATAGTTATTTTTAAAATATCAAAGACAATAGAAAACATAAGATATAATATCTATAAAAATGACATGGCCTCTTCTATCCCTAGATTATGAGACTAGACATTAAAAAACAAGAAGCATTTATCACCATATTAAACTACTGATTAACTGTAATAGTTGAGGGAAGAATAAATAACCCCAAACATCAAATAAACAAAAATTATCTGGAATGTATTAAATGAATATATGGGATTTTGAATTATTTTGGGTTAGACTAATCTTGAATAGTATTCTTAGAGCTGCACTTCTTTTCTCTAACTACTGATAGCCTATATGGCCACATAAATTAGAGATGCTGTAAGGGGTGAGAGTTTATTGTATTCATATGCTTTAAGGGAAAAGATGGCTTTTCTGAAAGGCCCCCTACAAAGAAGGGTGAACACTATGAACACTTTAATTCAACATAGGGTAAACATTTGGACAAAGCAATTAAGATACAAGGAAACCTGCAGAACTACAGAACCACTGACCCTCAGAATCTTAACAACCCTAGATTCTAGAATTGTTTGCATGAATATTGGATAAGAACTCTTCCCCCCTCAAATTAGGTTAAACTCATTTGCATATAGATGTTTGTTGAATTAAACATGGCAAACTAAATACAATCTCTCTCCCAGAGAACATTAGCTTTACTGTTTCTTCACTTTCTGAGCCAATTCCTAAGCTCCAAACAATGACTATAACACTTATCTGTTACCTTCACAGTGTAGAGTGTGTAGGGGTGGGATCCAGTGCCACTGTGCTCTCGGGCAGTGATGGTGCCAGTGATGCGAAGGTTCTGAATGACAACAGGGCCATCTGGACTGCTGAGGGACTCAAAGCTGAAGGTAGCTGAGTTGAGAGAGTTGGTTGGAGAGGAGGAAAGCAAAACCTGGGGCAAACTAGGATCGAGGGAGCTCACATCATTTGTGAAATCCTTCTCTAAGCAGGAGGGTCGAGGTGGACAAGTCATTTCTGGCCCTTCTGGCATAGCTGTAAGAGAAGTGGTTTCTCCTTGCTCTGCTACCTTGTCGGCTGTGTCAATCTGAATCTCTGGGCAGGGGTTCAGCATAGAGACCAGCAGCCCTGTCTCTGTTTCTGGATCCTCTTCAGTCTCTGCTCCTTCAATTCCTTCTAATCCCTCACCATCCTTAGATGGCAGAGCCTGGGAGCCCTCGAGGGCACACAGAGCATCTTGGATCCTGTCAGAGAAGAAGCTGCCAGGGGTCATGAGCATGATGGTTTCTTTGCTGAGTTCAGACAGTGGAGACTCCAGCTCTGAGTCTTCACATAAGAACAGGCGGCTTCGAGTATCTGGCTTCAGAAAGTGAGATGAATTGTTTGCTGCTTTTTCTTCTTCGAGAATGCCACATGAATCTCCATTTGTAGCTTCATGGTTGTCTTCAGCCTCTAGGGCAGGGTCTAAAAGGCCCTCTAGCTCAGTACAGTTTAGGAGTGTTGAGGCTGGAGAAGTTCTTTCCTCTGGCTGACTCTCTACTTCAACAGTCAGTGGCAGAGATGTGGACACTAAGGGTTCTCCGGAACTGCCTGGGCAGAGTACTTCAGTGTCTTTTGCTGGATCATCTCGAGCTTTGGAAAAGATACCCACAAGGATGAGGTGGATCCAGTCAGGATCTGAGAGCTTGTTAATCAATGGTAAAATAACATTGCAAGTAATGAGCTCAACTACTACATGGCGCCCAGTACGGGTCTCCAAGTGGGGCTTGGGCACTAGTTCTCCGAGTAACACATCCACAATGCTGCGTGTATAGCTGACCTCATCCCTGGGGCTCTGCACAGCAGGATGAGGGGCAGTTGACTGGCAGTAAGCTTCCCAGAGCTGGAAGGACTGAGCTGAAACACTCTGTTTCTCTTTGGTGGCAGCCTTTGCCTGAATATAGCTCTGCAGATGACAACCACAGAGAGTCAGAACCCTCTGAGCAAGGGCATGACTGTCCACCATTCCCATTCTCTTTCGGAGCTCCTGCACCAACCCTTTCATGGCAGCCTCCATTTCTTCCTCGAAAGCTGGCTCCTGGCTCACCAAGTGATACCAAGATGACACAAAGTCTCGGATGATCATCTGGATGGTAAGGCTGATCTCCCGTTCCAGCTCCCTCTCTGACTCAGGACTCCGAGGGCAGACAGTCATTGGCACGAAGCGTTCAAGGTGCAGTCGACCTGTAGCGCCCATGACGGCATTTGAGCTCAGCCATCCTCCCAGCACCACTAGCAGGGTGGACAGAAGGCACAGAAGCCACACATTGACCAGAAAGTGAATGATCAGGAGCCAGCCAAGCACAACTCCCACAGCCATCAGCTTCCGACCACCCAACAGGTGGCCGAGGCCAGCGCTGGGCCCGGCCGGGTTCCCCGGGCACGGCGGCGCAGCTTCTGCCTCCATGGTTGAAGAGGGTGGTGGAGCTCCCGAATGACTGTCTCTCCACGCACGGTCCAGGAGCTCAGGATTGGGGAGGAAGGCGTAAAGCTACGCCCTGGAGCGAAAAACTAGACTGTTATTCAAGACACCGGCCCCAGCGGTTCTACAGGGTGAGAGTAGCTGTTTGTTCCGCCATTGCCACCAACATAGGACCCAAACTAGACCTTTCAGGCGATGCTTTTGCGAAACACTGCTGTTTTCATTGCAGTCGGGAAGGTGTCCGGGGCAGCCTCAGGCAGACAGGTACGGGGACTTTGCAGGGGGCCAACACTTACTCTGCGCGAGAGCTGCTGCCGACAGATAAGGGCTCAGACACCTGCAGTGTGGCGGACTCATCTGGCATCCTTTCCGCAGCCCGTGACCATAGCCACGGCAGAGGTAGATTCCCGGGGTACTGCACCTCAAAGTCCCGGCTCCCATCAGGGTCGCTGGCTGCCGGCGGCCGGTGTCTCCTTCCTGGAGACGTCACGGGAGCGCGGCATTCTGGGAGAGTGGCGCCGGCTGCAACTCAGTGCGCGGCGCCACCTGGTGGTGACGGAGCCACGTAGCCGCACAAAGGGAGTTCAGGATTTTCCTAGAAGAGGTTCCTTCATGCTGCAACTCTGGTGGGCTCGAACCACCAATCTTAAGGACAGTTTCCTTGATCAGAGTCAATGACCTTCAAAGACTCAGACTACAAGGACCCCGAAACATATCCCAGGCTCTTAAATAGTAATGAACACTGGTTAAATTTAACACCAGTTAAAGCAAATTTGCAACAATACAGTTTATTTTAATATATGTGGCCATAATTTCATTCGCAGAGTTTTAGCTTTATTTCCACTTCCTCCGGAATGAATCTGTTTGTTCTTCTAGCAATCCGTGGTATACTCAAGACTCTTCTCCAGCACCACAGTTCAAAGGCATCAATTCTCTATCATTCCTAGTCATTGTCCAACTCTCTGATGCATAGCAAGTAATTGCAAAGACTATGGCCTGGATCAGGTACACCTTAGTCTCTAGACTGACATTGTTGCTCTCCGGTCTCTGACAACAGATTTTCCCAATGGAATGCAAATTTATTTCTTAATTTCCTATAGCTTAGTGGCAAGAAGTTGCATTACAATCTCAAAGGCATGCAGTTAGATGTTGAGAGCCGTTTTGTTCTACCTAGCTGAAGCCATTTTGTAATCCTCTAAGGACATGCCTGGACATGTTGCCTCACCCTGGGAGGACAGGTTTCGGTCTACTGGGAACACCCAACCTTACTTCTTCTTTTCACTCCTCCCATTGTGTTTCAGTTTACCCCACCCTGGGAGGACAGGTTTTGGCTTACTGGGAACACCCTGCTAAGTAACCTTACTTCTCCTTTCCACTCCCTTCATTTGTTCTCCTATATATATATCTCTGTATGATTTCAATAAAGTTGAGACTTGTCTCCTGCGCCCCCATTCTCTTTCTTCCTCTCCTAGGGTCACCGTTGAATGTCCCCGCAGGCCGGGGCATAATTGGCACCCAACATGGGGCCCCAGGAATGAGGAAGGATGATGAACACTGCCCGCTAGAAGTGACCGGCGGGTCCATCCATTGAGTCGCCGTGAGTCAGGGACCACGAGTGAAGACTTGCATTGTTGCCAGCCGCAGGACTATTCGCCCTGTGAGACAGACATGGAGCTGCCGCCACAGGATTACCCGCCCTGTGAGAGAGGCACGAGAGGAGGTAAGGGCAGCGAAATTATGCGACAGGGATTAAGTGAACATGAATTGTTCGTAAAGGGGATCAAGGATTCCCTCAAGGCAAGAGATATAAGGGTAACTAAAAAAGATTTAAAGAAATTTTTCTTCTTTTTAGAAATTTGCCCATGGTTTCCTCAAGAAGGAACTATTGATTCTGAGCAATGGCATAGGGTAGAGGATTGTTTAAATGACTATTACCGTTGTTTTGGCCCTGTGAAAATTCCTGTCACTACTTTTTCTTACTAAAATTTCATTAACAAAATCTTAGCTGTTCTTGAACTTCTTCATCACCATAGGCTCTTGCTCATATGTTATGTCATTGAATTCTTCTGTATCTGCCAATTCCTTTTGATACAATGACTCAGTGTATTCCTTCCATCTTCTTTTAATACTTCCTGGATCGTTTAATATTCTGCCTAAAGCATCCTTGATTATAGCAACTCTAGGTTTGAATTTGTTCTTCAGTTCCTTGAGCTTAAGAAATGCTGAACGAGTTCGGCCCTTTGATTTTCCGATTCTAGCTCATCCCACATTTCATTGTAATAGTTTGCTTTGTCATTCCGACCTGCTTTTGCAATCTTCTGTTCAGCTCTTTAGTATCTTAAATTCTTCATTAGAAGTAATAAAAATATTGTTCTTTTTCCTACAAACCAGTTAAATAATTGCTCAACTTTTGCTTCTCCCTTATCATGCATTTTCTACTATTAATAGATCAAAAGTAAGAGGATTTGAAAGTACTGAGAAATATTTGTTTTGGAAAAACTGTCATTAATGATCAAAAGTCCTTTCTTTTTCTGTTAATCAAATTTCTTTTACAGGTCTTGTGGATGTAAAAGCTAATGTGTCTGTTATTAATAAAAAATAGTCTCTTAATTGGCCTTTGCAAAAAAGTAACATTAACTCTTTCTGAATTAGGAACCTCTCTCAATGTTTAAAGGTCTAAGAATATTTATGGTTGTGCAGAACCTGATGACCAAAAGGCTCAAATGCAATTTTATGTGCTATACATTAGTGCTAATTTATAGGGAAAAAATTTATTAAAACAATTTGGAGCTTTTATATCCATCCCTGCTTTGCCAGATGCTGAATTCTATAGTCTTGCCCTTTTAGTAGAAAAGCTGACATAGAACCTGCAACTCCTTTGGAATTCTCCTTTGTTATTAATAGGAAAAGTGCTAAAACTCAGAGTCTAAAATAAGGGTAAGAATTAGAAGAAAAACGTGTTAACAGAAATATGAAGAACAGTTGAGAATGAGAAAGATGTTATAAAAGGCGTCAATATTTGTGTTGTCTTTTGTCTGCCTTGGTCTTTTTGTCTTGCATTCAAAGTTATAACACTGAGCTCATAGAGTTTAAAGGTTTCAGTAAAAAAAAAAATTAGTAGAGACAGATATAAAGTTAATATCTGTATGAATTTCAAATCTCATAGGGGAGGAAATGCTAGGAGAGGGTGTTTCAAACATCTCATGGTGCCAAAAGAGACTTTTTGTCTCAAGAGATCTTTGAAAAATCAGCTCTTGGCATCCTCTTACCACCTTCATACATGCTTAGGTAGAAATTTCCATATATTTCTGCCAGTATGTAAAATACACATGACAGTGGCCGGCACTACAAGTCTATGTGAGTTGTGGTGTCTGTGTTAGTTGCTCTACTTTAAATGAAAACCTGTAGGAGTAAACATAAAACTCTCCACTATAGCCCCTTGATTAATGCTTGCCTGTGTTGAACCTAGTTGTGTTAAGTCAAAGCTACACTGTTTAATGATCACTTTCCTTCTAATAGACTCTTTTCAATTCTTCAGAAACATACCTTTTTGCCTTTACCTATATATATATCATAAAGGTCCTAATGTTTTTACAGATGTTTCTAATTATGGAAGAAATAGAATATTG